GAACTGGTTTCAGTTCAAATGCCCAATACCGCTGCTAGAGCCCAACCAGGCAAGCCGGCGTTGATTTTATATTGAAGAAGTTGATTTCATCAAGAACTGTTATAAGTGATCTGAGATTATTTACCTGAAGTTCACTGATCCAAATTTTCTTATGTTCAACCCTCCGTTTCTTTTTCGGACTGCTCGCTTGTTTTCCAGCGGCTGGCCGCTTATCACGTGCCGATGCTGCGAAACGTATCTCGAACTGAAACTTTTCAATAGCTCATATTTTATTTAGCTTTTTACAGTTACCTTTCTGAAGCGACGAAAAGCCGGAATAGCAAATGAACAAACAATGAAGGTTCTTTATTGTTCCTTAACAAGCACATTATTTTGTTAACGAAATTTTCTTGCTCCTCTGTTCAAATGGATACAAGTCAATCCCCTGCGTGCGATTTTCGAGAAACAATTTCATAACGCAATATGCAGCTTAAACTAAAAAAATTTGACCGAACCGTACTATTGGGTCGATCACGAAGCATGCTTGCAGCAGATAAGGAAAAAACCTTCTTTAATGCAACAAGTCCGAAATTCTGGGGAGAATGTGCAGAATTCATATCAAAAAACGTACATCCTCAAAGGTGTTCTCCTTATCGAAACCAAGGAGATCGTCAATATCGAATGGTTCTCGAATGAAACGATTTCGTCGATGAACACATTGTTGACGGTGTGGTTTATCCTTATCCTTTAAAAGAAGTCAAAAAATGTAGTCATTCAAATTAAAAATCGTAAAATGATGCAAACTCAGATCATAATCAGCAAATAATTCACATGCTATCCATCATTGTTACCCGAACAAGCGTAATACCCGTAACATTAATCATATGCAACGATTTCTCCTCTGTCGAAACTATTCATCAAGCGATACGAAACACTGTTACAATATGTTCATAACATACGACGACATCTTGAATTTGATTCGTTTTATCTTTCGCAAAATTCATCAACTCCTCCGTCTTCTTCCGTTGCACACCATATCGCTTTGCCCCGCTCTTATTTTCTGCGTTTCCAAGCACCTAAATACACACACTCCATCATCAGAAATACAAATCACCTAAACCAGAAGCAGTCAAATTCCAAATTTTATCGGTACAGATTGCAGCATT